TGAACACCTCTGCAAAGACAGTGATTATGCATGGTGATGCTGAGTGTTGAATGAAAGATTTTTAAATTTTTTCCCTTTCTTTTTTGGGGGGGGGGGCACCCCCCCCCCCAGTGGGAAAGGCCCAAAAGGTTTAAAAAAAAAAAAAAATTCCCGGAAAAATCAACATTCATATACCCCAACAACCCCAAAAAAAATAAGGGTGGGTTTTTACATCACTAAAAAAACCCCCTGTGTTTTTTATTCCTTTTGTGGCCAGACACCCGGATTAACCAGTTTAGCTAAAAACCCCCCCACCCACCTACCAAAACCTTCAAAATCTAACCAGAAATTTGACTTAAAAATCTCTAAAAACCCACCAACATATTTTAAAGGGATTTTTTAAGTTCCAATTTTTTTTTGAAAAACCACATCTGTGAGTAAGACTTAATTCAAATAAGGCCCCCCTCGGCTTTTAAAAATCTCGTAAAACCCCACCTGTCACCAAAGGTTTTTAAATTTTAAAATGTGCAATGGGCTCAGTAGTAGTAAACCCTTTTCCCAGTAACCATTACCAGTAAAAACCCGTGTTAAAACCGTAGTGACTCACAAACCAAACCGGGCCGGGGTGAAAACAAAACTGTATTCTAATTTCCGCGACCAAAGCAGGATTTCAAACACCCTTTCCCCCCCACTGGAGACACTTTGAGTCAGTCTAGCTAGCCACAAAGGGGGGGGCAGGGGGGCCGGGTTGGCGCTTTTCCCCTACTTCCCTTTTATATTATTAAAGTACTACCAAACCCACGTGATCGAAAACCCCCCCCCCATGACAAGATGCTACACCCAAATTATGTATGGGAAATTTTATTACTGAGAGGATAGCCCAAGGTATCATTTGGGGCACGCAAACAATATAATTCTTTTACTTCAAATAATACACATACAATAATCTGAAGACCTTTAAAAATGCACTCAGCATTTCAGCCAAAAATTTTTCGTCTAGTCCCTTGGGAAAAATTTCATACCCGTATTTTTTTTTTTAACCTTTTTTTGTTTTTTGTCTATATAAACCTTTCAGCCAGTTTTTTGGGGGGGGGGGGGTATTAATGACCAAAAGTCTTGCGGGTTCAAATCAAAGGGGGGAGAAAGCTGGGAGACCCCCATATGAGAGAATGGGTCTGTGTGGTCAGTGTGCACAGTATAAAAAAAATCCCGCAGCAAACAGTTTCATAATAAAAAAAAAAAAAAAAACTCCGACAAAATGTTTTTGGGTTAAAACAACCCGGGCTTTGGGGGTGTATTTTCCCTGTAGTATTTATTTTATGTTCTCGTTTTTTTTGGTCTCATTTTTTAAAAATGGAAGATATATTACAAAATAGAGATATTTTTTTATTTGGTTTTCACATGAAAAGGGAACCCTTTAAATTGAGCTCAAAATAGCAGAAATTTTTTCGATTTTTGGCCCCAAAGTTCAAAGTAAACAAATGACATCACTTCCAACAAATGTCCCAAAATAGCCATTCTGATATGCAGTCAGAATGGGTTGAAAATTTTTTATACAATTAAAATTTCAATAAAAAAAGTAGTCTGCATAACTTAAAAAACTTCTATTTTTTGTGAGAAAAAAAAATCAAATAAAAAACCCAAAAAGTAATAAAAAGAGGGGCCTAGAGACGTGACTAATGAACAGAGGATATGTTATTTTAGTGCCAAGAATGTCTGCATTGTTTATTCTGGACCCTATTTCGAAAATAACATCCTTTTTTTTATTTGCATGAAATTGGCCAAATTGCCAATTTCTGAACACTTTATTGGGTAGCTGAAATCAGTAAATGGACGGTTTCTTGTACTCAATCGATAGAACAAATGGAGTTCTAAAGAAATAGCTATGAGTTTGGTCGACTGGAACAATGGATTGGCCGAACATAGGGCTCAAATTGGGCAAAATCGCTGATGCGTATATATCGCTGAGATCACTAACTTCACTAGAGTGTAATTCCATAAGTTTTCCATCAAATTTCGTACTTTTGGTGTCATTACCATGGGGAAAAAAATTCTCTGTCATTTCATAAGAAAAATACATATTTTTTTTTTTTAATATTTTGCAACACAGAGAGATTTCAGATCAAAGGGCTAAGGGTCTAATACATGATATTACAAGGAAATTAAAAAATAAGTTAATTCATTAATTAAAAATTTCAATTATGATTAGTTATAAAAGAGGGAAATAGTGCTAATTTATGAAGTTGAAACACAAAATAATATTAAGTTCTCTGGTACTAGTTTATAAAGTTACAATATAAGTTCTCTGGTACTAAGTTTACGAAGTTACAATACAAGACAATGTAAGTTTTAACTCGTAAATGGTCCAAACGTATATATACGTTTTTTCAACATTTGAAAGTATCTAAAAAAAAGTAGATCTTCTTTTTGTTTTTTTACATTTGAAAATGTGTAAAAAAAAAAACTTTGATCTACTTTTTTTTTTGTTATATTTGAAAATACAGTATGTAAAAAAAATGTAGATCTACTTTCGTAGCACTACACATGTGAATGTAGATCTACTTTTGTAGCACTACACATGTGAATGTAGATCTACTTTTGTAGCACTACACATGTGAATGTAGATCTACTTTTGTAGCACTACACATGTGAACGTAGATCTACTTTTGTAGCACTACACATGTGAACGTAGATCTACTTTTGTAGCACTACACATGTGAACGTAGATCTACTTTTGTAGCACTACACATGTGAACGTAGATCTGCTTTTGTAGCACTACACATGTGAACGTAGATCTACTTTTGTAGCACTACACATGTGAATGTAGATCTACTTTTGTAGCACTACACATGTGAACGTAGATCTACTTTTGTAGTACTACACATGTGAACGTAGATCTGCTTTTGTAGCACTACACATGTGAACGTAGATCTACTTTTGTAGCACTACACATGTGAACGTAGATCTACTTTTGTAGCACTACACATGTGAACGTAGATCTACTTTTGTAGCACTACACATGTGAACGTAGATCTACTTTTGTAGCACTACACATGTGAACGTAGATCTACTTTTGTAGCACTACACATGTGAACGTAGATCTGCTTTTGTAGCACTACACATGTGAACGTAGATCTACTTTTGTAGCACTACACATGTGAACGTAGATCTACTTGGACCGTTTACGGGTTAAGGAGACATGGATATAAGAACATAAGAATGGAGGAACACTGCAGAAGGCCTACTGGCCCATACAAGGCAGGTCCTTATCAAAACGACCTCTACCCAAAGCTACCCAAGAATTAACTCCCGTACCCAATGACACTAATCAAACCCAGCCCCTCCCACTCATATATTTGTCCAGTCTCTTAAAGCTACCCAAGGTCCTAGCCTCTATCACCCCACTTGGTAAAACAGTTGTGTCTGGAAGAAGAGATGGCAGCGATACAATATGTATATGGTAGTAGAAAGAAAACAAAGCAGATGTGATAAATGGTTTCCAGAAGCAACAAGTTGAAGATTGAGACACTTACGCAAGATGTGGGAATCTTTATTAAGGAAATGTTTTGCGACACAGTGGCTTCATGAGTCCAATACAAAGTAGAGAGGGGGTAAGGAGAGGAGGAGTTTGAGGTAATCAGTCCCTCAGCCTGGAGTCGATGTGTTCAGTCCATCACTCTTGTAGAAAGTACAGTATAGGGCCAGAGAAGTGGTTTATATACTGTAGTCAGGCAAGTTGAAGCAGGAGGCTGCACAGTCACAGTACAATCATCCACTATACTTTCTACAAGACTGATGGACTGAACACATCGACTCCAGGTTGAGGGACTGATTACCTCAAACTCCTCCTCTCCTTACACCTCTCTGCTTTGTATTGGACTGATGAAGTCACTGTGTGGCAAAACGTTTCCTTAATAAAGATTCCTTTATGTTGCATAAGTGTCTCCATCTTCAAAAAAAAAAAAAAAAAAAACAGGAAGTACAGGAAAATAATGGATGGAAACCAGCAGGTTTCAAGATGTTTGACATCACTGTCCAAAAACCTTACATACTGAAGTTCTAAACTAAAGTAATAAAATGTGATCTAAATTTGGGTAGTGTTAATAGTAATAATTTGTGTACAATGTTTACTGGTTGGTCAGTTGTACAGTTCCAGACTTAACTGCCCCCTTCTGGTTGATGGTCTGATTAATCAGGATGTTGGTGCTGGATCCACACAGCCCAACGTAGGTACCACAGCCTGGTTGATCAGGAACTGATGATGTTCTCTCTTCAAGACAGCTTGAGGTTTGTTGATAATTCTCCTTATGAATCAAAGGAAAGTACCTTTATCTTTGATGAAATCCGGGAGTCTTTCTACTCCTGGAGCCCGGCCATGGTCCAGGCTTGGCTGGTGCTAGCCTGGTCAACTAGGTGTTGTTGCTGAGTGTTGAAGACTTAAAAGATGCATATGAAAACTGATGGAATAAATGATGTGTTGGCACTTATATGAGTACAGTGGACCCCCGGTTAACGATATTTTTTTATTCCAGAAGTATGTTCAGGTGCCAGTACTGACCGAATTTGTTCCCATAAGGAATATTGTGAAGTAGATTTGTCCATTTCAGACCCCCAAACATACACGTACAAATGCACTTACATAATTGGTAGCACTGGGAGGTGATCGTTAAGCGGGGGTCCACTGTACTTGGTAAACAGGGACCCTATACCTAATGGTAGTGGATGTTGGGTAGGGAGGTTCACCTAGATCCTCTCATGGTACTGGAAGCAGTAGTAGGAGAACTGTTTCTATGAGAGAAATGAGTGGGATAGGTTTTACTTGGACCTACAAGGGGACACAATATATCACCTCAAGACAACAAGGTTAACATCCCTACCCATCCTTCAGAGTGTGCACACTATCCTTCTCACCTCCAGGACTCAAGGCCAGCTAACTCTGCCAGTTATAGTATTTTATTAGAAGACATTTCATCCACCAGAGGACATTCATCCACCATGGGACACTCACCCACTAAGTGACATTGACCAGTTGATAACAGCATAACCTGCACACTGTATCATCAAACGTTAGCGTAAGAAAGAACTTACTATCAGTCTTCTCACCTTATCCTCGTTATTACCCTCACCCAACAATGCCATGGGTACCAGGTCTGGCTTTCTACCACTGGTGAGATTGGTTCCTCCTTTATCATATGGCCCCAGCTGGCTAGTATTGATATCCTGCAGAGACACAAAAAAATAAACAGAAAAATAGCTGTTTCATATTAATGCAATGAAATCCTTCTGAATTAATTGACATAGGATACTTTCTGTAATGGAAAATATTTATTTATTTAACTGCAATTTTTGGAATAGCTCTGCCTTTTCCTCAGTTGCTAAAGTGTTAATAGCCCAAACTAAATGCCATAAACTGTGATACTGTACCAAAATTATTTTTGACAATATTTTGTTTTGAAAAATATAACTTATAAGACCTCAAAGCAAAAATTAAAGGACCATTTAACCAGTCATGGCATCTGGTAACAGTTACAAATGACTTGTTACTAACAATAATGAATAAAATACACAGACTGCATTCTGATCTGTGTTCAGCTTTATCAAGTGATGGAAATATAAACACATATGCAGTATAATGTGATCCTTTATTAACTACATTTCGCCCACACAGTGGGCTTTTTCAAGTCACAAACAGATCTACCTGGGGTGGAAGGGATGGTTTCGGTTATCCACAGTTTATCATGACCCAAAAATAACCCTTAATTTTGCTTAATAATGGCCTCAGAGTGCAAAAGTAGTGACGGTGGCAGTTCTTCAAAGCCTAAGAGAAGCGGTGAAGTGCTTCCCATCAGTGAAAAAGTGATAATTCTCCACTTATTTTGCAAAGAACAAGAGGGAAGAAAAGTCATTGAAGGAAGCATTAGTGAGAGAGAATGTAGAGATAACTGGTATAATGAATGTAGCATATAGGAACTTATATGTGCACAACGATAAGTCCGTCACAGTCTTGTATAAGGTTCAGTTGAGTAATGGTAATCAAAGGTGGAGCTATTGGAGGTTTTAAAAGGCAAACTTGCTAACATTTTTCAAGAACAACTGAAAATACGTGTCTGTATATACAGCCTACAACTGAAAATACGCGTCTGTATATACAGCCTATCTTCACTGAGCGATGTATACTCATTTACCGATGACACGGACTTATACCAGGGTCTCTGACCAGTATGTATACCTAAATAATGTGTATTAGAGCTGATTTCCTCTATTCTGTTTATTACAGTAGGTATACAGTACACTGCTGTATAGATATTTAAAAATATACTAGAAATGTCATAAATGGTGCAATGAATTCGTTTACCGACGTGGTTTTAGGAACGAAACTTCGTCGTTCAGTGAGATGCTGTACTCCTGAGAGTAGTAGTATAAGCAAGTGATATCCTTGTAGAGGTGAGGCAAAGTGAAATTACTGAAATATGACACTTTGGATCAGGTGGTGGAGTCGTGTAGTACGTAAATGGCTCTATAGTAAATGCTCCTAAGAGCGGATCTCATTATAATGGATTTTGGAAATACAGAACAAAACTCACTGGGTCACTCGATTCATTAGTGATAGACCAAATCCATTGATTACAGAATTGTCCATTATTGTTATAATCAAGGATGAACAATCTCTTCTCTCGACCACAGTTACCATTACCAGCCTCCCCTGCCCCCTTTCCAGTTTACTGTATATGGAGGATTTCCTATACGTAAAAATGTTGCCAGGTTTCTGGCCGGCATGGTTTGTCCCCATTTCTGTACAACCCGCAAGGGAGGTTTCTTGATGCTAGCTTTTGATCCAAAGAATTTGATGTGTCATCTTGGATCAAGCCTGATAGTCCTTTTATTTGTTTTACTTATGAGGAAGTCAAGATGTACAGTTGGCCCTCAATTCACTTGGTTCGTAATTCATAAAAATTAATTTTTACTGAAGGGATAGCCTGAAAATATATTTTGATTATAGAACTGAGTGGTGTTTAAAAATTATTTACCAATCACTTAACTAACTACAGTGGACCCCCGGTTTACGATCACCTCCCAATGCGACCAATTATGTAAGTGTATTTATGTAAGTGCGTTTGTACGTGTATGTTTGGGGGTCTGAAATGGACTAATCTACTTCACAATATTCCTTATGGGAACAAATTCGTTCAGAACTGGCACCCGAACATACTTCTGGAATGAAATAATATCGTAAGCCGGGGCTCCACTGAACTGACAGTGGCACTAATGAAAGAGCTAAATCTAGATGCAAGCCAGGACTAAATACAGTGGTACCCAGAGTTTCGAACATCTCCCTACTCGAACAATGATGTAAGTATATTTTTGGGGGTCTGAAACGAACTAATTTAATTTACAGTATTCCTTATGGGAACAAATTCGTTCGGTAACGTTACTCAAACAACCTTCTGGAACAAATTAAGTTCATAACTCGAGGTACCGCTGTATATTTACATCAGCTGTCTTTGTTACTACTGTTGAACCCTTATGGGTTAGCACTTGGTTATGATTATAATACTACTACTACTACTGTTGAAGACCTGTAAGAATAACTGAAAATCCTGATTAGTGAGCTCGCCATGTTGGGTTATTTACTCACATAAGTGTGCTTAATTGATAGTCAGATTCTGGTCACCCACCTCTTAATTTAACCCTTATCTACTGGTTTTATTGATTTCTGCCCTACCGGGCCAGATCACATCTGCTCTTGGAATTATGTACACTATGTACAGTGGACCCCTGGTTAACGATATTTTTTCATTCCAGAAGTATGTTCAGGTGCCAGTACTGACCGAATTTGTTCCCATAAGGAATATTGAGAAGTAGATTAGTCCATTTCAGACCCCCAAACATACACATACAAACACACTTACATAAATACACTTACATAATTGGTCGCATTGAGAGGTGATCGTTAAGCGGGGGTCCACTGTATAAAGTTTGTCTTGACCACCTCTTCATCTAGCACATTCTACTTATCAGCCTAAAATTATAAATACAGTTCCTAATATCCCTAGTGTTTATCTGTCATTAGATGTCACCTGTGTCCTCTTAGCTTCTGTTTCTCTCGTGTAAATCAGCCTTTCCCTCTCCACTCAGTATAATTGTTTCCCTTTGGTCCTCCTCTACTAGCATTGTTATGAACAAGATATGTAATGCCTGGGAAACTTTTCTCCTACCAAAGACTTTATCAGTTCAATACAGAGCATAAAAGTAGGGATATGTATAGGAGCATTGAGGTCAGTTGTAGTGTAACTGGTTAATGTCACTTGACAGGTATATCCTAATGGCCTACAATCAATTTAGCTTAAACTGGAGATACTGAAGCAGTGCATGTTCTGTACAACTGTATTGCTAAAACAAATAACTGTAGACTAAACAGTATTTAAATCTTTTTTTTTTTTAATAAGCTTAGCATCATGCATGCCATCATGTGATTATGGCCAGTGACTAATGCTATGACTAATTACTAAGATGATCAGTGTAGCAGGTGGCAATGTCATTGACACAGGTGTGTGTGTCACTAGCCCTCTCTCTCATGTTTTCTCATCCTTCACATAGTATGCATACAAACTCTAAGACTTTAGTATCAACTAGACTTGTGTATTTCTCACTAGTTAAATTTGCAATGGTAGTGCTAGTGGCTACTCTTAAGATTGCACTGGAAATATTACCCACCTGACTGTTCAAGGATGATGCACGTATTCTAGGATTAGTCAAGTTTGGAGCTGAAAGAAATGTATCAAATACTGACATGATGGATAAAGACATAAATGCGGTATAATGTGATCTCTGCGCAGAGCAGTAGGTTGTGTTTAATTTTATATTTGACTGGGTGATCTGAGTGGGATTCAACCATGGCTGCCTGAAAAGCAAAGTTTAAGAAAGGATTTCTTCGCTGTTCTTCCTTTACTGACAGCCAAAGGATCATATTATACTGCATTTATCTATGCAAGTCTGGGGTGATTGTTGATTGTCTGGGCATGGGACTTGGTCATTGATTAACCCCTAAATGGTCCAAACGTATATATACGTTCTAAGCGTAGTGCCCCAAATGTGTACTATATATGTTTTCTTTGTCATTCATTCAACATTGCCACGATAAGCCTGAGTCGCCTAGACATAAGAGACTAGGTGTGTGCACTCACTGTGTGCCATATTAAAATAATTGGGGATGCCTGGGTACCATATCCTCTTTTTTCCTATTAAAAAAAAAATTTTTTTTCCTCAAAAAATTTGGGACGCTACGCGAGTGAACGTATATATATGTTTGGACTGTTTAGGGGTTAAATAAGAAGGGAAGTACAGGTTAGAGAAGACCTAGTGAATGTAGTCAAGTTCCTCAAGGTATTGAGTGCCACATACCATGTAGGCTCTCAGAAAGAATCCAGTTATAGCTCTGTATTTCATATGTTGTCGTGGTCTGTGTGGAAGTACAGTGGACCCCCGCATAACGATCACCTCCGAATGCGACCAATTATGTAAGTGTATTTATGTAAGTGCGTTTGTACGTGTATGTTTGGGGGTCTGAAATGGACTAATCTACTTCACAATATTCCTTATGGGAACAAATTCGGTCAGTACTGCCACCTGAACATACTTCTGGAGTGAAAAAATATCGTTAACCGGGGGTCCACTGTACATTAAATTGTCTTTTTGGGTTATTGGTATAGCTTTTTGCTAAATCTATATAACAGCACATCTAGAAAGTTTGCCTTCAGTTTATTCTTCAAGTGTGAATTTAATGGATAGCTCAACTGTGATGAGTCTCCGTTTTAAGTCCGTGATGAGTCTCTGTTTTAAGTTTGTGATGTTGAATCTTGTCGTTGCTATGAGAAGGATAATGTTCACATGCTACTGGGAATGTGACAACATTCACCAGGTCATCTGAACTATACTTTCCCCCTCACATTTTATCAGTGAGAATAAATGTGAGGTCGTGAGTATCAACAATCCCCCTCCAAGCCTGACACATTCTTGACACATATTTGTCATCCTTCCCAACAGAAGTGCTTAATATTATTTCTAAGTGCATTCTTAGTGACCACTGCCAAGCACGACCATTAGAGACTTTAATAATAATAAAATATTGTTAGGAACAAAAGAAAGCCACTAGTATGTGGTGCATTTCTGGCAGACTCATCACTTAACCAACAAGAAACCTTTATGGGTAATTTAAGCCACAGCTGGAGTTTCATACCATGTGAAGGATGAGAAAATATAAATGGGAGAGACAGCTAGAAATGTACTTGCATCAACAAACATAAATATGCCTGCCATCCTGATGTCAGTAATACCTGTGTTATTCACAGGACTAGCCATGATACTGTGAAATGGAGTGATGACAAACTTATCAAGGTTGTTTAGAATCTGTGACTCTGTCTTCATTATACAGAACACACCATTAGGATAAAAAATTCAAGGGCCATCATTAATCATTGTGTGCATTGCACCTACACCATAAGTGACTTCTATGCTACAGTTTATGTGTGTATTAGATTGATAAAGCCACTAGTGGATGAAATATTTCCTTTATTAAAGTTAGCTCACATTTAACCCTTTCAGGGTTGGTGCCGTACTAGTCTGCATAAATTCTAGCAGCTTTAAATTAAGCGAGAAATAGCTGGTAGGCCTAGATGTGAGAGAATGGGTCTGCGTGGTCGGTGTGTGCAGTAGAAAAAAATTCTGGGACCCAGTGGCGCATTGTGGGAACGCCATTTTAGTAGACCTTGTTCACCATGACATGGTAAGAAGCTCCTCACTCCTCGGCAAATTGGGACACTTTTGTTCCCCAATGACAGTTCTAATACAGATGGAAGTGCCAGTGAAGATGAGTTTCAAGGTTTTGGTGAGGTTGTGACTGAAACTAAGGACCATAATACCGGTAATAGTGAGGAAAACCCAAATGACCCTCAGCCTTCCACCTCTGCTGCTGGGCCGTCTTGTTCACGTTCAGTTGTACCAGAATCAAAGAGGAAACTCCTATTTTCCCAAATCATGGACTCAGATGTGAGCATTGGTGATGATAGTGGTAGTGAATATGAACTCCAAGCTCTTGAAAACAGTTCCAGTAGTGATAGTGAAGTGGAATATTCTCCAGTGAAGTGTCAGTATATACGACGATATATGCGCTCTGGTAGTACATCTCGGAGTACATCCTGTGGCTGTACAACAGGAACAGACAGTGAAAATGAAGATGATAGTGTTGCAATTGGGATGGAAAATGCACATGGTGGTGGTAGTGGTGGTGTTGGCCGTAAGGCACCAGCAGTGGGCCATGCTGCCACCCATGCTGCTGCCTCAGCTGATCTACAACAAAGGCCACCATCCCCCACCCACCCACCACACCAGCCTCCACAACCACAACCACCTGTCAATATCCAGTACCCACCAGCAGACTGCACCTGGGATTGGCAGGAAGCTTCCATTTTGTTCCCAATCCTCATCACTTTGATGAAAGTCAAAGTGGAATACGGCCATCTTATACACTTGGGAACAATGCCAGTGAACTGGAATGTTTCGAGTTATTCTTTGACGAACCCCAGGTGGAAATTAACGTCAGGGAAAGCAACAGATACTACGAGTACACCATGGCAAACACAATACTTCCACCAAACTTACACCTACACCAGTGGAAGGAGACAACTGTGGCTGAGATGTATCTTTTGTTTGCCACAATAATGCTTATGCCACATGTGTATAAGCACAGTGTGAAATCATACTGGTCAATAGACTGCCTGACTGCAACCCCAGGTTTCAGAGATATAATGGGAGTGAATCGATTTGTGCTACTATTACGTATGCTTCACTTCTCAGACAAAACCAGGCCTGACAGAAATGACAGGTTATATAAGATTAGGAATGTGTTTGTGTATCTGAAACAGAAATTCAATATGTATTTTTATCCCTTCAGGAAGCTTGTTATTGATGAGTCTTTGATTCTGTTCGCAGGAAGACTCTCATTCAAGCAATACATACCAAGCAAGAGGAAACACTTTGGTATAAAGTTGTTTGTGCTTTGTGACTGTTACAGTGGTCTTGTACTGGATATAATTGTGTACACTAGAAGTAATACATTGCGAGATACCAGGAAGTTACTGGGTATCTGCGGTGATGTGGTTAGAACAATGATGGAACCATATCTTGGTAAGGGGCATATTTTATATACTGACAACTGGTACACAAGCCCTATACTCAGTGATTTCTTGCGAGTGAACATGACAGATGTGTGTGGCACAGTGCGTGGAAATCGTAAACATATGCCCGGGTTCGATGCTGGCACTCGGATAGGTGAGGTGCAGGAGTTTGCTGCCAATGACATCATGGCATTTCGGTGGCATGACAAACGAGATGTCACACTGTTGTCATCAGTTCACCCTAAAGAAATGGCAGACACTGGCAGGCAGCATAGAGAAAGCAATGAACCCATTCTAAAACCTGCAGCTGTGATTGACTACACCCTCAATATGCGCTCAGTGGACAAATGTTACATGATTGTGTTCGCAAAAGTTATAAGTGGTACATAAAACTTTTTTTCCATATTCTGGACATTTCCATGCTGAATGCTTATAATATATATAAGATGAGGACCAGAAACAAACCACCATATGGCGAATTTTGTTTGCCTGTCATCAGACAAATAATAATCACGTACCAAGGAACAGCACCTGCAATAGAAAACCGCCCACGTAATTATCAACAACTACCTTCTTGTCTGAAGCATGGTGATCACTTCCTAACAAAACTGCCTGCTACTGCTTTCAAGAAAAAGGCTCAGAAGAGGTGTTACGTCTGTGTACATACAAAAAAATGCCCACAACAACACAGAGTCGTGTTTTATGTGTGAGGAGTGTAATACACCATTGTGCAGGACACGATGTTTCAAAGACTTCCACAGGCTGCAGAACTTCTAAGAACATGTCCTCTGACTGTATATGTATATATAAAATATAGAAAAATAGTAATAAACAACATTTTGTATTGTTCGTTTGTGTAAATAAGTTTTGTAAACAATATAGTGACAACAGTGTTTGTGCAGTTATTGTGTAGTAGAGAAAAAGTAATAACTTACAAAATAGTGCTCATATTGGTCTCACAGCCCATAAAAGTTACTTGGAATTTTTTTTTTAAATAATAGAAAATGGTACCTAAAAAAATAAACAAATACCGGGTGACCGGCATCGGCGATGTTACCATATGCCGGTCATTGTCAACTTCACACCTCCATATCTCGGTAAGTATTGATGGTAAAATTTTTTTGTTTAGCCTATAAAATTCAGAAAAAAAAACACTATCTTTTCATAAGAATTTTTTTTTTTTTTTTCGAATTTTTACCGACCCTTGTTGCAAACACTGGGATATTTTCTAGTATTATGAACACAGGTGAAGAATGGCCTGCACACCTTGCTGTAACTGAACAAATAGTGGAGCAAGCAAACCTCAACAACAGTATATGACTTGTATTTCCTTCAATAAAACAAGCTGGTATTTACCATATGTACACTATTTATAGCATGTACAGTAAAGAGTACATGTACAACACAGCCAAGGAAGCAAAATGCAAGAGCCAGAGAATGCACCAAGAAAGATCAGTAGCCCAGACAAGTCTGCCAATGCTTACTTCACAAGTAAACCACACTGCTTCGGCGGGCCTGTCTGTGACTGGGCGATGAACCAAGGTACTGATATAATGATGGGGCCCCTATTGATCGTTAAATTCTTAGCACCTGGTTCGCTGGTCAAGAGGCAGCCTATATGGGAGCGTGACATACACCGAATAAAATGTAACATACTCATAACATGCCACATCTAGTTTCTTGGCATGTTTGATCACTTGCTGGTACAATACAACCTGCCCAGAAAGCTTGTGTTGGGTACTGACAAAGAACAAATACATTAGTTTAAATACACCCAACTCATTCTTAAGGATTTGGCAAGATAATTATCAGTTCCTCCTCCACAGACTAGTTGATACAGTATAAAGCTTTCTTAGAGCACTTGTCAAACAAGTGTACCTTGAGTTTGTTGACTGTTATGTACACAGGTTGTCAATAGTCACACTTAATTAACTTCTAGTAGGCAAAGAAGGTACACTCACTGCTGTTAGTGCATTGAGTCGTCTCTGGTTCAGCTGGCCCTTGTTCTTCACCATCTGTGAGAGTTTGGTCAAAAACTTCAGACACTCGTCAAACTTTGTTTGGCACTCTGTCCAGGTTGGCTCTAGCTCATGGGCACGTTGTAAGCTGCTGAGAGCCCCAGCGTAGTCCTCCTCGTACCACTGAACCTGCCGCACACAACACTATTTTAATAAAAACATCAGATTTAAAATATAATCAATTTGAACACACAATTATTGTAAGGTTCATAAAAACAATGCAGTGGACCCTTGCCTAACGATATTAATCCGTTCCTGAGAGCTCATCATTAGCCGAAATTATCGTTAGCCGAGTTAATTTTCCCCATAAGAAATAATGGAAATCCAATTAATCCGTTCCAAACAGCCAAAAGTATTAAAAAATTTTTTTTTTCATGAAATATACAGTTTCCTACAAAGAAAACAATAAGACATGCACAATAACTACATAAATAAATGTTAAAATGACACTTACCTTTATTGAAGAGTATTGATGAGTGATGAGTCACTGTTTTTCTTGAACTCTGGGATTTTCAGAGTGATACACCAGTAAAGACTTCACTTTGCAATCCCCACTAGCATTACAACAAAACATGAGAGTTAGCCTGTCTTTCATAGGCTTGTGTCCTGGGAGTGCCTTTTCCTCCTGAGTAATGTAGGTCCTGTTTGGCATTTTCTTCCAGAACAGGTCTGTTTCCTCACAACTGAACACTTGTTGGGGGATGAATTTTTCAGCTTTGCCATGCCTTACTGCACTGTGTATGCCACTACAATTCTTAAATCTCTCAAACCAACCTTTGCTGGCCTTAAATTCACCAATATGAGCACTAGTTCCAGGCATTTTTTCCTGTTCACCTGGGTGTTAGTTGACTGTTGTGGGTCGCATCCTGGGGGACAAGATTAAGGACCCCAATGGAAATAAGTTAGACAGTCCTCGATGATGCACTTTCTTGGGTTATCCTGGGTGGCTAACCCTCTGGGATTAATCGTTTCTCGGTAATTGTTTCACGTTAAGCCACACCAACAACACTCTCTCCACATCTTTGAGTAGTACAGCTGATGGTGGTGCAGCAGCAGCTGACTGATCCAGTAACAGCTGACTGGTCCAACAGCTGACTGATCCAGCAACAGCTGACTGGTCCAGCAACAGCTGACCGTGGTGCAGCAACAGCTGACTGATCCAGCAACAGCTGACTGGTCCAACAACAGCTGACCGTGGTGCAGCAACAGCTGACTGTGGTACGATAGTATTTATAACCCTTTTTACCACAGGGTTGGCACTAGAAGCTTTCTTTGGGCCCATGGTGGCTTATTTAGCAGTTACAAGCACTATAACAATGGAATAATACAAAATGTATCGAATGTATGCATGCAACCGGCCACCCTGGCTTGTAAACAATGATGGCAAGGCAGCTGAGGCGCTCAGGCTGGATGGACGTGTTTGGGAGGAATCACGTTGGGCGAGTTTTTTTTATTGTTAAGCGGGCCAAAATTTTTACACTCAAATGTTTCGTTAGGCAGATTTAACGTTATGCTATGAGTTCATTAGGTGAGGGTCCACTGTAATTCTAATCTTAAGCACAACTCTGAGGAGGAGGTGCCTTTATGTTCACCACAAGCTCTTGATCCAAGGAACTGCCATTCCCCCAATAACCTCCCATTCTGCAGATGCTATATTATACCCTACAGGTTTAGTCTTTCCCCACCAACCTCAACAGAACACATGACCATAACACAAGGCACAGATCACTCTTTGATGTTCCTCGTGTCCATCTCACACTATGCAAAAACTCAATGCACATAAAAGGCCCTAAAATCTGGAATTCATTACCTGTGAATATAAAAGAAACACTGTTTATAAATTCAAGTTTCTCCTTAAAAATCACTTACTCACCCACAACTAAATAAATACTGAATAATTGTATCTCATAAATGTATAACCTGTGACTCAATCAAACTTTGTTATTTTTAATTACATTACCTAACAGAATACTCCATTCTACTGAATGTTCAGCAACACAGTAAATGACCATATGACCTGTCTTTGTAATACTTATTTGTGCTTAATTGTTATTTGTTTACAATAATGTTTAACACTAAATATATCATTGCTTAGTTAATCTTAAGTTAATTTTAAGCCTGCCCATAATGCTCTGCATACAAGGGGCTTTGGCATGTTAAACTTAACCACTGTACAGTGGACCCCCGGTTAACGATATTTTTTCACTCCAGAAGTATGTTCAGGTGCCAGTACTGACCGAATTTGTTCCCATAAGGAATATTGTGAAGTAGATTAGTCCATTTCAGACCCCCAAACATACACGTACAAACGCACTTACATAAATACACTTACATAATTGGTCGCATTTGGAGGTGATCGTTATGCGGGGGTCCACTGTATTTCCTTGTACTTCTATGTATCATGTTCAAATTAATAAATAAACAAACTTGCATTTTCCCGCTTTAATAAGGTTGAACAACACAAGCTGGTGGCCTGGTGGCTAAAGCTCTCGCTTCACACACGGAGGGCCCGGGTTCGATTCCCGGCGGGTGGAAACATTTCGACACGTTTCCTTACACCTGTTGTCCTGTTCACCTAGCAGCAAATAGGTACCTGGGTGTTAGTCGACTGGTGTGGGTCACATCCTGGGGGACAAGATTAAGGACCCCAATGGAAATAAGTTAGACAGTCCTCGATGACGCACTGACTTTCTTGGGTTATCCTGGGTGGCTAACCCTCCGGGGTTAAAAATCCGAACGAAATCTTATCTTAATCTTATCTTATCTTAATACTTAAGACAGATACAGCAGAAATTATCTACACAATCTTTAATTCCATCCTACAGTGTATAAGATACACTAGTTATGTTTATGTGGTTTATCTTGTTAAACCTTTGTGGTGTGTGTTAGAATTGTGTGGTTTATCTTGTTAGACTTTCGTGGTTTATCTTGTTAAGCCTTTGTGGTGTATGTTAGAATTCTGTGGTTTATCTTGTTAGACTCGTGGTTTATCTTGTTAAGCCTTTGTAGTGTATGTTAGAATTCTGTGGTTTATCTTGTTAGACTCGTGGTTTATCTTGTTAAGCCTTTGTAGTGTATGTTAGAATTCTGTGGTTTATCTTGTTAGACTCGTGGTTTATCTTGTTAGACTCGTGGTTTATCTTGTTAAGCCTTTGTAGTGTATGTTAGAATTCTGTGGTTTATCTTGTTAGACTCGTGGTTTATCTTGTTAAGCCTTTGTAGTGTATGTTAGAATTCTGTGGTTTATCTTGTTAGATTCGTGGTTTATCTTGTTAGACTCGTGGTTTATCTTGTTAAGCCTTTGTAGTGTATGTTAGAATTCTGTGGTTTATCTTGTTAGACTCGTGGTTTATCTTGTTAGACTCGTGGTTTATCTTGTTAAGCCTTTGTAGTGTATGTTAGAATTCTGTGGTTTATCTTGTTAGACTCGTGGTTTATCTTGTTAGACTCGTGGTTTATCTTGTTAAGCCTTTGTAGTGTATGTTAGAATTCTGTGTAGATTGTTTGGTTTTTAATTATATCTTTATTTCTACAAGTACACGTACAAGGTATACAGACCATAGCTGATCATCAGTGACATACTACTGTATGGAAAGTCCCTTGTTATGCTGAGCATTTACAGCAAATTATGTCAGTTTTGTCCCAGGATGCCACCCACACCAGTCCACTAACACCCACGTACCTACTTGCTGATGGGTGAACATGGATAACAGATGTAAGGAAACACGCCCAATGTTTTCATCCTTGCCAGGAATCGAACCCGGACCCTTAGCGTGTGAAGACAGAGCTTTTGTTAACAGGCCACGAGCCACTGTGGTGTATGTATATCTGGAGGGTGTTCTGGGGGGTCAACGCACTCATGGCCCGGTAAATGACGAGGCCTGGTGGTGGATCAGGACCTGATCAACCAGGCTGTTACTGCTGGCCGCACATAAACCAACATATGAACCACAGTCCAGCTGGTCAGGTACTGACTTTTTGTCTGTTCAGCGCCTTGAAGGCAACCAGGAGTCTATTGGTAATCCCCATTATGTATGCTGAGAGGCAGTTGAACAGTCTTGGGCCCAGACTTTTTTGTAGTTTATCATGTTCAGTTATGGGGTATCTTGCTGTGCATTTTGTTTGTGTTGGGTATGTTGTACTGTACAAAACAGTGTCTGGGTATGTTGTAATGAACAATGTTGGGGCATATTGTACTGTACATTGTCTGGTATGTTGTATGGTACAGTGTCTGGTTATGTTGTACTGTACAAAGTGTCTGGGTATGTACTGTGTTGTGTGTGTGGTCGCGTGTGTGTCGTGTGTTTTCATGGTTGTGTGCGCAGTGTGTTTGTGGTCGTGAGTGTGGTGTGTTGTGTGTTTGTGGTTGTGTGTGTTGTGTGCTGTGTGTGTTGTGTGTTTGTGGTTGTGTGTGTTGTGTGCTGTGTGTGTTGTGTGTTTGTGGTTGTGTATGTTGTGTGCTGTGTGTGTTGTGTGTTTGTGTTGTGTGTTGTGTGTTTGTGCTGTGTGTGTTTGTGGTTGTGTAATGTTGTGTGCTGTGTGTGTGTTGTGTTTGTGTGTTTGTGCTGTGTTGTGTGCTGTGTGTGTTGTGTGTTTGTGGTTGTGTATATTGTGTGCTGTGTGTGTTGTGTGTTTGTGCTGTGCTGTGTGTTTGTGTTGTGTGGTGTGTTTGTGGTTGTGTATGTTGTGTGTTGTGTGTTTGTGCTGTGTATGTTGTGTGCTGTGTGTGTTGTGTGTTTGTGCTGTGTTGTGTTTGTGGTTGTGTATGTTGTGTGTTTGTGTTGTGTGCTGTGTGTGTTGTGTGTTTGTGTATGTTGTGTGCTGTGTGTGTGGTGTGTTTGTGGTTGTGTATATTGTGTGCTGTGTGTGTTGTGTGTGGTTGTGTATGTTGTGTGTTGTGTTTGTGTGTGTTGTGTTTGTGGGTATTGTGTTGTGTGTGTTGTGTGTTTGTGCTGTGTGTGTTGTGTGTGTGTGTTGTGTTTGTGGGTGTTGTGTTTGTGTTGTGTGTGTGTGGTGTGTCTGTGGTTGTGTATATTGTGTGCTGTGTGTGTTGTGTGTTTGTGCTGTGTGTGTTGTGTTTGTGGGTGTTGTGTTTGTGTTGTGTGTGTGGTGTGTTTCTGGTTGTGTAT